GTGGGAGCCATAAAACTGGCAAGAAACATTACCATAAGAGTGAACAGTGTAGGCATCTCTGCCCAACTGACCCAATAGCAATTCATTATCCTAGCTTGTTGCCTGTGCACAGAAGGAGAGGTTGAAGATGAAAGAATGAGAGAGAGTGTGGAGGACACACGCCTGGGCTGATGTATTTATAGTGACAAGTGAATGGGCAAAATGTCCTCCAAGCAAAGGATGCCAGGTTGAACCTTCTCAGCCAATGGCATCTTGGCCTAAACAGCGTAAATGAACAAACATTTACAGTGAACCATTAAAAGGCGTGTTCACGTGGTTCCATTTTCATATTATTATTACTTAAGAAAAGTGAGGGAATCGATGACTCACACTCAACACATTCCATGTACACAGACTTGAGCAGTTCTTCCAGCTCAACGTATACAATTTTATATTGTCTGCTTTCCCAGTACTTGTACTATCGTTGGAAGGATTTGGGCCCCCATCATTCACAGCTTCATTCTTTGTTTTAAGGTTTTAATTGGAAGAAATTAGTGTGCCCGAAGAAGCAAAGCAAGGTTTGTGTTTCTGGGTCCCCTGAAAATGGGTTCCCACTTCTCAGCCTTCAAAGTTGGCGGCTTCAAATTCAGAGTTATCTCGGTTTCTGTGTCTATGACTATGGGCGGAAGCCGTGTCTATTGGGCTACAATTAATTCGTTCTACAGTCATTCTTGAATACAGGTTGCAACCTATAGAGTGGTTCAGCTGGGCAGTAATCAACTGGGGAAGGAAGTTGTCTGTGCCTAACAGCCCCTACTCACTCTAAAACATAAAAGAAATCAATATGAGGATAACTTCTCCAACACAATGCACCCATAAGAACAATGAAATGGTGGTATAGAGGATTAATTTCTATTGGAAACAGAAGTTTACAGAAAAATTATAAAAATAAAAAAAAAAGAAAAACTATTGAAAACAGAACCTATGTGATATGCCTCATGACTCAGTTTGGAAAGAGTATAAATATGAATATATATAGTATAAATACATATAAAATACAAGGTTTTGTATTCTACATATTTGCATTTGTGTTCCTGTTCCTTTCAAACTGAGCCTAATTTGAAAAGAGTACAAATATAAATATATATTGTTTAAATACATACAAAATAATACAAAATACAAGATTTTACACTCTACATATTTGTATTTGAACTCCTTCCAAATGGAGACTAGGTTGCAATTCATCAAATAGATAGAATCTGTTGAAAATAGAGGTAAGAAAACATCTTCAAGTTTTTTTTTTTTTTTTACAATAAGAATACTCTAGATATATTGAGTTTCTCACTAACTTGCTCAGCCACTATTAGGCGGTTGAATTTGCAAGGAATCCAAGTATAAATGTTTCTCACTAGAAAAAAAAAAGTAGGTTTTCTTACTCTACTTATTTATGCTACTCAGTTAAGAGAGAGATCCTGGAAAAATCAAAATTTGTGAGGCATACGCCATATGGACATCCTATAAACAATAGGGCTGCAATTTGGGCCGGGTTAACCTAAACCCTACAGCACATCCCAACCATGTGTTGGTTCTAATGATAATTTCGAGAGATATTCCCCATGCATGTTGAGATGTGCAGATGTGAACTATTCCCTTTAAGTTGAGTTGGTGGTGACCCCTTTGCCTTGGGCATTCCGAACCAGACTCTTTTAATGTCCGTTTATGTGGCCCATTTTGAGCCCACTATTTCTTACTAATTAGTTCGTCAGAGGTTTCAAAAATCAATATGTATTATACAAGTCTCTCTAAAAAAAAGTATGTATTACATAAGAAGTGGGATTTGCTCTTTACAGAATGCTCATTACACCAACCTCACAGCATATCCCACTGTGTATTGGGAACATCTCCCTATGAATAACAAATTAATAATACACAAGTATAAGAGATGTTCTCGATTCATGGCTGAGATGTGCTATGAAGTTGGTGTGAGGAGCAGATCCAGATTCATCATACAATATGCACCAAAACTTTTTGTGCTTGCTTCAAAGCTCATTCAACTTCTTTGCCTTTGAAGGGCTTCAGATAAGCCATTCAAAGAGGCTGAAGCAAGGTTTTCAAAACCGGATCGGATAGGGAACTGTTCTGGGGTCTGGTTCTCGGGTTGAATGATCCAACCGTTTGGTCTGAATGGATGGCCCGCTCTGACAAAAAAAAATAAAAAATGGCCAAAAACCATTATCCAAGTCAACAGTTCAACGGTTCAACCACAATTTGCTGACCAAATGAACAGTTTTTGGCCAAAAGCGGTTTTAGTGTAAAACAGAACTAATTCCTGGTTTTTCTGGTCCGATTGTCCAATCTGATCCGATTTTCAAAACACTAGGCTGAAGCATATGAATCTGGATTGGCTCCCCACACCAACCCTGCAGCACATTTTGCAGCTGTGCATTGGAAACACCTTAATGCTCCCACCTCAGAAAAACAGACTAAAATGTTCAAAAGATTAAATTTTATTAATTAATGAATTAAATAACTTTGATGTATATCACGAATAATATAAATTGAGAATGATTTATATGAAACTTTAACCTATGATAAATTTAAATATAATCAAGAATGTGTTTCATATTTGATCCAATTATAACAAATGGATCAATTTTGGGTCATCCACTGGATCAAATTCTTCGCAGTTACCCGTACCACAGTTTTTAGAGGTCAGAAGAGGAATGAATCAAAATTCAAGGGGCAGTGAATCATAGGAGAAGGTGTTGGGAAATAACTTTGAACTGTGGTAAGGGTAAATTTGATCCAACTGTACAAATTGTACTAAGAATTTATAGTAGGGTACACTGAACAATAAAAACCCCGAAAAAATTAATATGAAGCAAGAAACTTTGAAGCCGTCAACTTTGAATTTTGGAGAGAGAGATCATTATCAGCTCGCCTTGGTCTCCAACGGTCCAACCCCCATATCCATAAACAATAAACAATGAATGGGGGCCCAACCTTCTAGATTAATAGACGTGATAATGGGCATACAGACAGTAGGCATATGGAAGAAGTTGGTGAAGTCGGTGGCCATGGAATGCTATCGAGTGAACGAATTATTCATTCCCTCACTTTTTCCAACAAATAATAATATAAAAACATAGAAGCGCGTGGAGGACACACGCCTTGTAATTGTTTACTGCAAATTGCACTTCTCGGCCAAGATGCCATTGGCTGAGAAGAAGGTTCATCCCACCATCCTTCACTTGGCTCTGTATACAATTTGATGACTCACTTCTCACTATAAATACACCAGCCCAGGCGTGTGTCCTCCACACTCTCATCCTTTGATCTTCAATCTCTCCCCATATACAGTCACAACAAGTTAATTAAGAATTAAGATAATGAATTGCTCTTGGGTCAGTAGAGTAGTGGAGATGCCCACAGTGTTCACTCTTATGGCAATAATGTTTCTTGCCAGTTTTATGGCTCCCATTGTGTCATCTTCAGCCTCCCTCAAGGTAGGTTTCTACAAGAATAGTTGCCCAAGCGGAAGAGACAATTGTGAGGAACACAGTTAGCAAAGCTGTTGCTGCCAATCCTGGCATGGCTGCTGCTCTCATTCGCTTGCATTTCCATGACTGCTTTGTCAGGGTATGCTTTTTGCTTTTTGCTTTCTGCATTTTGCCACCATCAATTAATCTTGTTCTTGTTTGTTTTCTTACTCCATCTCCCAAATCTCAATTGCACTGCTAATTTCTTGTGCTCTGTAGGGCTGTGATGCTTCCATTCTTCTTGATTCAGTATCAGGAATAAATCCGGCTGAGAAAGTGAGCATGGGGAACAAGGGTGTGCAAGGCTTTGAGGTGATTGATGAGGCCAAGGCCAAGATTGAAGCTCAATGCCCCAACACTGTATCTTGTTCAGACATCCTTGCCTTCGCAGCTCGCGACAGCATATTCGAGGCAGGCGGCATTCACTATGCAGTCCCCAGAGGCCGGCGGTATGGCAGAGTTTCACTTGCAAGTGAAGTCACTCAGAACCTTCCTGATGTATCCTTCAATGTGAAACAACTCAGGGATAATTTTGCACGAAAGGGGCTCTCACTAGAGCAAATGGTCACACTCTCAGGCGCCCATTGATCAATTGGGGTCTCTCATTGCTCTTGCTTCTCAAACCGCCCCTACCACTTAAATGCTTCACACTCCCCGGGCCAGGATCCTTCTCTTCATTCTACTTTTAAAACTAGTCTGGACCCAGTTGTAGCATTCGATGCAGTAACCCCAGTTCGTCTAGACAACAATTACTACAAGAATTTGAAGAAGCACAAGGGACTGTTGACTTCAGACCAGGTTCTCTGGATTGATCCCTCAACAAGAAAGATGGCGAAAGATAATGTCAACCATCCAGCAGCCTGGGCAGCCAAATTTGCATCGGCCATGGTGCATATGGGTTCTATTGATGTGCTCACTGGGGTGCAAGGGGAGATTAGGAAGAACTGCAGAGTTGTAAATTAGGTGAGGTTTTGACTACATGAAACCATAGATAGATAGATAGATAGATAGATAGATAGATAGATAGAGAGAGAGAGAGAGAGAGAGAGAGAGAGAGAGATGCTTTTTCTTATTGTAATGAGTCTCAAATGTTTTGTATTATATTTATGTTCTAATCAAGCCAGTTCTCTTCTTTTAGTTCAGTTATTTCTGTAAAGCATTCATATATGTGTAATAAAGAAAATGTGGAACTGTGGTTTGTTGACCAACGGAAACTGGTCAACACTGTTAATTAGACATGGAACAGTCAGGGGAAAGGAAGAAATTACCTTTCATGATCCGAAAGGTTTGAGCACMAGTCTTGACGATCCAAATTAAGGAGTCTTACATTTATATGCCAAAATTGTCCAAGTGTAATGATTCCACAATTCATTTGTTTCTTCTCCTTTGTCATCTGGTGTTTTTGAATCCACAGTTGTATTTGCTGTTTCTCCTTCTATTTGCATCAGGTTTCTYCCCAACTCCACACCAACACCCTACATGTGGGTTGAAGGGAATCATAAAACGAATTGTTGCCCATTAGGAAACCTTTTGGTTTTCTAAAAGCTTGACTGAATAGTGAGAATATGATTCTGTTTACCAGACAATTCCACTTCCATCTTCTTCAAATAATTCAAAGGAGCACATATTATCACTTTCTTTTTTTTTTCAAGGAAAATCACCATCACTAAAGTTTTTTTTTGGAGCCCAAAACAAAAGGAAATTTCATTGAACTGAATCCAGTTACATCAAACATTTCTTGGTTGATAACAATGCAAGATACACAATCAGGAACTCTTCTAACCATGTTTTGTCAATATGCAGTAGATTTGGTAATTCTATTAGAATACAAAACCTTCATTCACAATCTTTGCAACAAGGGGCATTACCCATCCCTTCTTTTTGAGGGTTTAGTTGAATTTTCTGGATAGATAAGAAAATATACAATGATGAATCCATGAAACCAATGCTAACCTTCAAAGCTTCAAGGTTGAAATATTGCAAATCTAACTTGAAACCTTGATTAGCAGCATCTCGACTAAATCAAGGTTGCATATCTTTCCTAGGAAACAAAGTACGTTCTCTCCACATATCAATTTTTCTTTCCCTATGTCAGGGAAAGACAAGCTGCAGTTGAAAAGTGTCCCCATTGGAGTGCTCTGTTCTGTGCTCCTCTCCCTGTTCTTCTGCCAAACCTTTGGTCCACATTTAGAACACCATGACATCTTTGGAGTATTAAAAGAACAAAATGTGCTCTAGTATATGTGATGATAGACCAAATAGCACAGGCCCTTGAATGTGAACTGCCAATGGGAGTAAAGAGGTGATTGTGACTGTGATGCCCCCATAACCCTGTAACTTACATGAATTACATAAATAGAGATCACCATTAGATGAGCACACCATAAGACAGTGCATAGACTGAAAATAGCATGATTAGAGTATTGCATCTTTTAACCCTTACATTTAGAAAAGAAAATGACAATACAAATTTAATGAAAAATTATATTAGTAAGTTTGAAATATCTGTTTTCCTTAAATAGTTTAAATCTTTTGAACCGACCAAACCAAAAATCGACCCAAATCGATATAACTCGAGTTGGTCGGTTTTCACTAATGATCAGCCGGTTTTGGGTGATCAATTCCCCAACCTCACCAAGTCGATTTGGTTGGCCAAACAACCTACGACCGAACCAAACCAACCCGTGAACACTCCAAATTTCAGCTAAATTAATAGTCTAGTCTCTAATAAATAATAATAATTTCATCTCCAATATTATTGAAAATTTGTAGTGAAAACACACAATTATTGAAAATATATTGATAATGGAAATACAATAATAACTAACAAAAATACAATAAATACTAAAAATATATTAAATTAGTCAATAAATAGTGTAATGTCAAATAAAAGTTTAATGTATAATAAATATTAATCAATAAATTATAACAAAAATAAAATAAATACACTAAGTATAATAAATTAAATTTAAGAAGTTAAACAATAGTAGTTTAATCTCCAATAATTATTGAATTGTTTTTTTGTCAAACAACAAAACAAAAGTAGATTTATATATAATTATTGATATATTTATCATAAAACAATAAATAATTACTAAAAACACAGTAAATATTAATTCTAGTATATATATAAGTATATAATAAATATATATTAAGATTTTAAAATAATTATTAATAAATATTTTTTGAAAGTTATTTCTAGAATTATTAATTGACTTTAATAATCCATAAAATTATAATTTGTACTATTATTACATAATTTTTTATTAATTTTGTAAAATATTAAATGATTATTAATTTGAGTATTATGTTATAATTATTTTTCTACTTTTAAGAATTTTTTTAAACTTATTACATAGTTTCATTATTTTAACTATTTAAGATCTAGTTATGTTAAATATTTTATTATTTAAAATATTTAGTTATTTAAATATTTAAATATTTAAATAATATGTAAAATATTTAAATTTTTTATTATTTGAATTTTATTTATTTTAAAGTTGTTACTTAATACTAAATATTTTGTTATATAATTATTTAGCTATTTGTAATATTTTTTATTTAATATATTTAGTTCTTAAAATATTTAAATAATATTTTTTGTTTAGTGTTAATTTTTATTATTTGAATAACATTTAAATTGAATAACTCAGAAAATCATAAAATCATAATTTATATTGTTAGTACATAATTTAGTGATGAATTTTGTAAAAATATAAAATGATTAATAATAAGAATATTATTAAATCAACTATAATTATTTTTTGTGTCTTTAATAAATATTTTAAAGTTATTATATAATTTTGTTAGAATATTAAAATTATTCTTAAAATTTTCAATTCAAACTTTCTTTAAATAGATATAGATAAAAAGTGGGGGAGAGGATAAATAGGAATTATAGATAATTTAGGAGAAAGTTAGGGAGGTAGTTAAAGGGAAATTTTAGGAGAAGAGATTATTTAGGTTAGGATCGTGTGGAGGAGAGAAAGAGAGAGATTTTAGGTAATTTTTTATGGAGAAGAAAAACATCTCATTGGTTGTTTAAAAATGACATAAAATAAAAATAAAATAAAATATTAAAGAAAGGAGAAAGTTTCTAAACCGTTGTATTTTGGTATATTTAGATGCATTTAGTTTTTATTAACATCACTGTCTGCACGAATAGTTCGTCTTTGGAGACTGGACTAAGGGGAAAAGGAAGAAGAATAGTTAATGTTGTCGGATTTCGACCTCAATCAATCAATTTTGCTTAGCAGAAAATGATAATATGTGTTATTCTCCATCCTTAAATACTCGTGATGTCCACCAAGGCACGTTCTCCACCATGTTATTAATCCACACTGTTCAGTTGTAGGGCCCTACGTTCAATAAGATTGAAAAGGTCTTTCCTTCTATTTCCATCCAAGTGGTGAGTTGCTTATTACTAGTGGCATGTATGGGACCACTGAGGGTTAATAAGCCCAAGATGTATCGTATACTTTCAATTAAATATAGATTATATAATATAGACATGAGGCATCTCTCTTTCTCGGTCTGTCTTGATGATTTGCATCTCCTTCTCTCTCTTTGTTGTTATTTATAGCAGGCAACAAAAGGTTAATCAATTTTCCGACTAAAGCACCGGAAAGATGACGACATATGGGACGATACCTACAGTATCGTCATCGTTGGGAGGATCAACTGGCCTAGAGTACATTTCTCGTGCAAGAGAACGGATAACATCAGAGTTGGGCACTCGAAGGCCATGGAAGGAGATGATCCACCTACAGGCAATAGACCTTCCGGTTAACTTCCCCGATGCCATCACCAGGATCAAAACCAATGTGAATTACTTCTTGATGAATTATGCAATCATTGTGTTGGGGATCCTGTTTCTAAGTTTGCTTTGGCACCCAATTTCGTTGATTGTATTCGTGGTTATGATGGCTGCCTGGTTGTTCCTCTACTTCATGAGGGATGAGCCATTGGTGATCTTGCACCATACGATCACCGACGGTGTCGTGTTGATCGTGTTATCGATTGTGACAATTGGGTTGTTGTTGTTGACTCGTGCAACGCTTAACATCTTGGTGTCACTTTTAATTGGGGTGGTGGTGGTCTTGGTTCATGCGGTGTTGAGGAACACAGATGATCTATTCGAGGATGAAGAGTCAGGAGGGTCGTCTGGGTTTTTGGCCACCGAAAATGGAACCAGATTACAATTCCGTGAGCCTTCCTCTTCTTTTTCTTAATAACAAGGATTGTGATTTGAGGCATTTTTTGTTTTTGGTTAAAGAAAGGATGTCTCTTGTTTCCATTTCTTCTCGTAGATTTGATAGTTGTTTTTACCATTGATTGATTGTTTATTTGTTTGTATAATTTAGTTAAAGGTTTTGGTTTTCTATCTTGCATTTGCAAAGTCGACGATGGAGCAACTCCTTTGTGAATCTAACTTTTTTTTAAGGGGGGTTGTGTTTTGGGTTGTAAAATATTATGAATTAAAGTTTTTAATATATCTTATGAAATATGAACTGAAAAATAATAAATCATCAAAAATATTTTTAACTTGTTGTGTAACTTCTATATTACAATTTAATTATTGATACAAAAAAAATCTCCAATACAATTTTTGTTTTATAAAATAAAAAAGTGAACTAGTGATAAATTAAGGAATTATAGATGGCATCTTTAACATTGTACGCCTTATAAAACATGTGTGATATTGTACACATTATAAAACATGTGTAAGGCAGTGAATTTATATATCTTATATGTAATTCATTAACAAAGTGGAACATTATGAGTGACATCCTTAATGTTGTTAAAGTCTTTAATGTAATTGTTAAATATGCTTTATGAAATATGGATCAATGAAAAATAAATAAACTATGTAACATCGTTAATATGATTGATTACTTTTTTTACTTATTGTGTAGTTTTTGCACTATAATTCAATTATTTATATAACAAAATCTCCAATACATTTTTTTTTGCTTTAAAAATAAAAGTAATTAGTAATAAAGTAAGAAGTAAAGAATGGCATCTTTAACTCTATATATTTTATAAAACATGTGAGACAATGGATTTATATAACAACATTAACTCAGCCAATTCGACATCAATTTAGGTTATACTAGACCTAAATAAACTAATTATCTAGTAATTATTTATAAATAATTTAAGAGTTGAGACTTATTAGAATAATAATATTTAAAAAACTTGTAATGTAAGTATTAAGAGCATATACAATAATCAAACATGTGCACTAATTAAGCATAAGGATAAAATAGGTAAAAAATATGAGAATATAAATTAGAAAAAGGAGGTCCAAATATATATAAATAGGATGTCATATTCATATATGGATCTATTAAATTTTTTCTTTATTCCATTTTACCTTCTATTGACCTCTGCGTTATTAGAGTTCAACCACTCTTGTATAAGATTGAACTTACAACATAAATTAACAAACCAATGAAAAAAAGATTATATCACATTTTTAAAAGAGCAAATTTCTTAAACTACCCCTATTGTTTGGCTAATTGATAAACTGTAGCTTTACTATTTAACTATTGTCTTAAACCACCCCTATTGTTTCTAACAATTACCATTGCCGTTAAGTCATAACAGAATGAATAAAATGTCTCATTTTCTCTTAAGCCCTTTGATCCCATCTTTCCTCTCCCCTCATTCTCTCTCTATCCCTTCTCTTGCAAGGTCACTGCCGTTGCAACTCGTTGCGGCGACATCATCACCGACAACCCTCTTTTGGTTATACTACTGGTAGAGTGGTTCCCTAGAGATGAATTAAAGGGGTAGGTACAGTTGCAGAGATCGATACAGTCAACGAGGAGAGCAACTTAGCAGGTTTAGCCGTAGGAGGTGTCAGTCGAGTAAGACAAGTTACCCACCTAAGCTTTTCCAATTCATTGCATCTAAGACTCCGTCTCACGACCTTACTTGGGACATTGGCACCAGGAGCGACCAATCGGCAAAATCTATGAGTCCTCTCTCTCTCTCATACACACATACAATTTCTAGGCTTTATAACACATTGTTATTTTTAGTTGGCCAGAATTTTCATGACTGTGGTGGCCACAGACACATGCTAGGAGCAGCTATCATTTGCACCCAAGTTACCCAACATTCGTTACGAGCAGACCTCTCCCATCATGTCCATAGATGAAGTCAAAAGCAAAGTGCCAACACAAGCAAGCGTCGATGTTGTGACCGCATCCCAAGCTCTCCATTAGTTTGATATCCCCAACTTCTACCAACAAGTGAAATGCGTACTCAGAAAACCCAACGGAGTGATTGCAACATGGTGCTACATATAGCCAGAAGTTAACAAATCCGTTGATGCTGTCTTCTGGAGGCTTTATCGGGAGTCCGATCCTTATTGGGCTCCCGCTAGTAAAATCATCGATGATAAGTACAGAAGCCTCCATTTTCCGTTCGAACTAGTGGAGGGAATGGATCACACTGGTCCCTTCGAATTCAAATCAAATCAATCCATTTGTTGGCCATGATGGGTTTTTGGGAAGATGGAGAGAGAGAGAGAGAGGGTAATATTGGGTTTTAAATAATAAATAAATGGCACGTGGTGTTACATGTGTATGGATTTTGATGGAATATCAATGGACATTAACGACAAGGGTAGATCTAGTCAATTGTCAAAAATAGTAGGGGTGGTTTAAGACAATAGTTAAACAATAAGACTATAGTTTGTCGGTTAGCTAAATAGTAGGGATAATTTAAAAAAATTGACCTTTGATTAGTCAATTTTTTATTTATTGTGCAACTTTTGCACCATAGGTGTAGTTTTTATATAATAAAATTTAGAATATTAAAACTACTTAATGAAAAAAATGTGAAAAAGTAAAACATCATAAATGACATCTTTAACAATGTTGAAGTCTTTAACATGATTTGTTAATATACATTCTAAAAAAAGTAAGTAGATAATATGATGTCTTTTACTATAATTGATTATTTTTTAGGGTAAAATACAAAACCTCTCTTGAAGTTTCTAAAAATCATAAAAGCCTCCCCTTTAGTTTTACTTTAACAAAAACCTCCCTTGTACTTTTAAAGAACTCAACAAAAAATTCCCATCCATTAGTGACCCAGACAAAAAAAAACCTATAAAGTTACAAATTTACCCATGATTGATTGTCAGGGCATCATAAAAAATATTTTAAAATGTCAGAATTGCCTTCACTTGATTAATCTCTCCTTTACACCCCCTTGTATTTTTTATTGTCGTGGGACTATGAAGGGGATACTAATTTCTCAATGTTCAAGGAAATTAAGCAATTGATTTACCATAGTAGCCACCCGTTGAGTAAAGTCGAAAATGCCATTGCAATCTCAAAGCTAGTATACAATCAATTAAAATAAATCCTCGTTGCAAAGAATCAATTAAAATCCATAAAAATGGAGAATTTTGAAAAATTAATCCATAGAAACAGGGTCTGAAAACCCTAATTTGATCCATTAACAGAACCAAATGACAGATCTGAACCAACAATAAATCCCTTTATTGCAAAGGTTGCAAACTTTAGTTGCCAAGGTTGAGGTTTCTAGGATCTAGAATTTTCATTTCTATATTCCTATATTCCTATTTGTTGTTTGTAATGTTGCTGTTGTCGCGTTCTTCTTCTTCTTCTTCTTCCAACGAAAAAAGAGATTTGGCTTCCTTCTAGCACTTTACAACAAAGAAAACCATTTCAACGATTAGTCATTTGCATTTAGTTTTGTTGATGGGCTTCAACTTGTCAGGCAAAACAAGACGTTCTATGTTCCAGGTGTTGAATTTGATGTACATGACTTAAGCTACAATGAAGGCTAAATTTGGTAATTTGAAAAATTAATATACTTTGTTAACATTTTTCCGTCCAAAAGTTGAAGGAAGGGAGGTATTTGTTATTGTCAAAACGCAAGGGAGGTTTATATTATTGTTAGAAAATTTAGGGGAGGTTTTTTATATTTTACCCTACTTTTTATTTACTTTGCAATCTTTTTTTTTATATAATAGTAGATGTTTATTGTGTAACTTCTACACTATAGCTAGAATATTTATATAAAAGAAATCTATGATATTAAAACTAGATTATAAAATTAAAAAGTGAACCAATGATAAAATGAGATGTTACGGTTTACAACAACATTTTTAATATAATTAAAGTATATAATGTGATTGGTAAGTATTACTGAAAAAGTAGTTTCAAGGTATAAGAGATTTAATGAATATTCAAAGATATTGTTTATAGAATGTTATTTGCTCACAATTAAATGATTGAACTTACTATTGGATTGTATACAAATTTATTCTCAAAATACAAGAAAAATTCTAACCAACAAAGTTAAAGATTTTCTAAAAAAATGTAACATTTTTAACATAGGAATTCAGATTGTGAGAGAATAATTTTCATGTTGTGAATTATGCATATAAATGGCTTGATTTACAATCATTTTATAAATTCTAGAGGGTCACCATGAAAAAAGTATTCAAGCCCATTTGAGCAATGTCTTTGTACAATCATGAATTTGAATTAAGTGATTAGTTATAGTTAGTTAATAATTTTGACTATTAAAAATTTAAATGGTGTTTTTTTATTAAACATAATCAACCCATAATACAGTTTTCTCCATTATATGTTTTATTGAAAAGTTTGCACAAAGCCTAAGGTATGAGTGTTAGTTGAAACTATTTGAAAATGCTTAAAAACACTTAAACAAATAAGAAAAATAAGAAAAAGGAGAAAACACCTACATGGCACTAACCTAAAACACGTCTCCAAAGCAATCTATCGCATTTGTACATAAGCTTATTTAAATTTCATTATGCTAATCACGATTGGATTCATACTCAACTTTTGATTCATATTTAACAGAACTAATTCTAGATTCATAATTGCATTCTCATTTGGATTCGCTTATATTGTGGGAACCAAAAAATACTTATAATTAATTTTAAATCAATACATACATCTTATGAAATTTTAAATCAACACATACATTCTATAAAATGTGAACTAATAAAAAGTAAGTCATATAATGCCTATACCATGATGGTTACTTTCTTTAATTTATTGTGTAGTTTTTATACTATAGTTAAACTCTTTATATGGTAAAAGTTAAAATATAAAAAACTTTATTATAAAATAAAGAAGTGAACTAGTAATAAAGTGAGACATCAAGTGACATATTTAGTCTTTAATGTGCTTGATGAATATACATTGTGAAACGTAAACCAATAAAAAGTAAGTAAATCACCTTATGTATTTAAATGTGATTTATTACTTTTTATGTATTGTAAAGTCTACAATGCAAAAATTGCACTGTGAAACAAAAA